GAAGAATAAGAAAAAAACAAAATCCTTTGAGAAATGGTGATCTCCAACGACGCTCCGTTCTAGATCATTCGGTGTCAGTAATGAGATTTTGCTTTTTCATTTTTTCTCCTTTTCCTCCTCTTCTTTTTATTTGAGGGTATTTTCGACTATTTGACTTTTGTTTGCATTTTCAGCATGTATTTTTTTTGGGTAATTGGCGCAAAACATCCTTACCTTTCGAGGTTATTGTGGAAAACGTCCCTACCTTTCATTTTTTGGCATTTTTGCCCTTATTTACCACATTTCTTGCGCTGAAGGTCCTTTTCACTGTTTTTTGACAATTTTGCCCTCTATTCAAATAAAAGAAAAAGAATAGAATAGAAAATAAAAGAATTAATTGCAACTAATACCCCAAAATTTCAAAAAATTACAAATTAGTAATAAATATAGGAGTTAATAGCCCAAATGGTTACTAAACTTTGCCAAAGGTCCAAAAAGGTCATTGAACTTTTTTAAATACAAAAAGAAAAAAAAAACCAAAAAAACCAACAAAAAAATTTGAAGAAACGGGCCCCACCAACAAAAAAAAGGACCAAAAATAATAATAATAAAAATAAAATAAGGAATCTGAAAATGGAGGAAGGTGAAAAGTAAACCAAAAATTATTTTTTATTTTTTACCTACTCCTCTCTCTTTGACTCCCCTCCCCATTTTCCTCCAGCTGTCGACTCCCCTCCGACCATCTTTAAACATCCAGCTTTGTCGTCACAGTAACCGAACTCGTCACTATCTCGTGTAAGGTACGAAATTTATTGAATTTTTTGAAAGTCATCTGTTTTTGGTATACTTCAAAGCTTTGCCATTTGTTATAGTTTTCATTTTTACAAATTAGGAATGTTGAAATTTTGCATATTTGGGTTTAATTTTTTAGAAATAATGTGAAGGCAGTACCCTGTTTGCTCTAAGCTATGCGTGGAATTGCAATTTGGTTAGATTAATTGGTAGATAACAAGGTATATTGGTATTTCATAGTACGCATATGTCTTTGGGCGATTAAAAACTCGAGACTAGTTTTTTTTTTTTTTTTTTGGTTACAGAATTTAATCAGTGAGTACGAGTTCTTAATTGGTGCACTTTTACTCTTTTACTTGCTTCGTTGCTTCTGGGGGTGATTTGGGGATAGTGGCTGGCTGAAACTCGATCAAGTAAGTTAGTTCTACATCACAATGATCAAGATTACATATGCAGTAGCATTGCTCAGAGCTGTCTTAAGTGGATATTAGTTCTTTCTAAATCTCTGGGATGTATAACTAAACTAACGTAATATGAATTTTTGATATTAAGGAGACAAGACAATAAAGAAACATGACTTTAATTGAGCGTTTTTAAGAGTCAAAATCTATTACTGTGACGTAGGGAGTAACAGCTAACTTGAAAGGGTGAAAGCAGAAAAGTCATCTCTGATTTTCTTTGGAAGATGTATTTTTGAAGAAGGTATCCATGAGGAGGAGCAACTGATAAAAAAATGTGCTGCAAGATCAATATTTAGATAAATCATCAAAAAACTATAGTCTTAAATGCCTCACTTTTAACTTGTTAAACCCTTATTTAAGAAATCGTACCTACTTAGCATTATAGAAATTCTCACTTCAATGCAGGAAAAAAACTCGTAGGAAGTGTCATCAGGGTTGAATTAATAAGGAATCTAGGCCATTTTCAGCAATAACACTCCTTTATAATTTTTCTGTGTTATTTTTTCTCTATTTTGCTTGTGAATGGATCATGAATATATAGTGAATCAAAAAAGTGTAAAATCGAAAAGTTCTTTGATAGCTATTACTGTGAGTATAGAGTTGGAGAAGTCTCCCTAGAATTAGGTTTCCTTATCCTAAATTTTTTTGCCCCCATTAAAAACACAGCATATGATTGATAGCTAGTGTGATGTAATTCATGAACTAACTAGGTCAAGATCTTGAAGTTCAAACGTATCTTACCCTCTTCAATCATTGTATAATGCAATCAACCGTTTTTCTACTTGTTAAGCATAATTTGTTGAACACATACGTATCTCTTTCCGTATATATGTGGGTGCACTTGTAGATGATTTATGTTTTCCTTTTTCTGAACTAATGTATCACCGCTAACTGTGTGATGGTCCTGCAGCTCTAGGACTATATTAGAAAAATACCTGAAGCACACAGTCAGCATGGCTGAGGATCACAAGACTGCAGACAAGTTGTCTATGGCAAAACGAAGCCAAATGCATTTCCATCTTGCTCATTATGTAGATGATCTATTTCGTAGTTCTGAAGAGAGACGTAACTCGAATGAATGGCAAGTAACAAATCCCTGTGACGGAAATCGTTTCTTGGTCTTTATAATTATGCTTGTTCCTCCTTTAACTATTGAATATTTGGCATGACTGGAACATTAAACATTTGTACTTTTCTTTTCACACATGGGTTGATGAGGTTATTCCTGATGTGCCGGTGGTGATAAATCAAGAGTTCATTCTCAAGCACCAAATAAGATTATTTTAAGATGCTAAAAAGATCATGAGGGCTATCCTGCTCATTTCTTCCTTTATCTGTTTGGTTTAAAATTTATAATGTTCCTTCACTTCTATTTAAACTGAAATTGGTTACTGTCGTTTGTGTTTTGTCCAGCCTTCAACTTATTTCAATAGATAACTAAATCTCTATTGTATTTTCTGAATTTAGATTCATACTCAATCAGAGTTTTCTTAGGGCGAGCTTCTCTTTATGGCGATCATGAAGGTTGAATTTACCCATTGCATTCAAAGATAGATGCAAGCCAATGAGAAAGTAACGGGAAGGATTTTTGAGAGCTAGCCAATCCAACGGTTTGAAGACAGCAAGTTGTAAATTATCTTCTTTTATACAATAATTTTCTGTTGTTTAAGAGGAGTGTAAGATAATATTTATTTGATGGGCAATATGTAAATCAAAATTTTTCTTTGATTCATTACAATGATGTGTTTTGTCTATTTGTATGGATTAATAAAATTATATCAATTTCATGCAAGCCCAAAAAGTCCTTTTTATTTTGTGGTTAATTTGGTAAATTGCTATACAAATGGGAAAAATGCAAAAAAAATCAAAAATAAATAATAATAATAATAATAATAATAATAAATAAATAAATTGTAAATGACCTACGGAACGTTGCAAAAACTTCAACGTTGTCAAAAATCTCATTTGCAACGTTCAGAGAACATTGTCAAAAACCTTATTTGCAACGTCATCTGAACGTTGTCAAAAGTCTCATTTGCAACGTTCATTGAACTTGCAACAAGCCTCATTTTCAACTTTTAAAGAACGTTGCGAAAACCTTCATTTGCAATGTTTAATGAACGTTGCCAAAAGTCTTTGCTCTACAGCAATTTTGGAACCCACAACAGATGTCTGAACGTTGCGATAAGTCCACGGCAACGTTTTTTGACCTTTGCAAAAGGTGATTTTTGGCGTAGTGGGCTAAGGCCACACAATATCGTAAAGTTCGAGTAGAAAACTTTAGTCCCATGACGTGTACTTTAAGTATAAATTAACATACAAGGACTTAAGCTATTCATTTTAACAATATTAACCTTTTAAGATGGAATTACACGTTCTAGCCATTGTTTAGTTCAACTAAAAAAATTGATTTAAATCCAAGTCAAGGTCAGGAATTAATTTTAATCACACGTTTCATGAAATTCATAACTTTTCAATCACATATTCATTAACTTTTGAAAAATCTTCTAAAAATTGGATTTTATCTAAATGAAACTGGGACTTAATATTGTATCAAAGTTCATTAAAGTACAAGTTTCAAGATTGGTATGCCAAAACGAGTTATCATCTTGTAAAGCATGTTAAGGGATAAACTTCATATTGATTAAATATTAAAGCATAAACAGAAGAAAATATTAAAAATTAGACTTTAAAATGAATAAAAGATTGTTTATAGCTTTATTGAATTTATGACCATGGACTATGAGCACCTACCACACATTAATTCCTATTTATAATAAAATAAGATTAACAACTCTCCACTACTTTGTGACTAGTATTCATCCAAATAATAGATAACAACTTTCAAATAACAAACTAATAATTCTACAGTTTTTTTGTGTCTCTAATTTTGAATTTATGTGTGGATTCTCAACCTTATCACTCCAAAATTTTATGGTCTCTTTATGATTCATTTGATCCTCATTATTTCTGTTGCTATGTGACGTTGCTAATATGCTCTAACATATAATGACTTGAACTATTACTCTCAACAAGGTTGGTTGATGGGGGTGCGGATCGATCTATAAATTTTAACACCAATAAAATTATTATTATTATTTTGACATAATGAATAGTGGATTGTAATTTCGTATCATGCAAACTAAAAGCACCTATATTTAAAATCATTTTATCAAGTATACTATTTAGTGTTTAAGTGTATTTTTGAGATTTATTTTATTTATTTATTATTATTATAATTTTTTTTTTTTTTTTTTTTAGATAAAAGCGTGTCTTGATCAGGACTTTAGAGTCAGTATAATTACCGATAAAAGTAGTAGCGTGGAGGGCCCTAACGTGGGGATGGTATACTTTTACTAACTTTGTTGAAAAATGGCTTCACTTATATTTTATTTTGTTTAAAATAATTTATTCTTCTAAAATATTATAAAATGTAAAAGGTTATATGAAATTAAATAAAGTCATAATCTTAAATAATATATAAACCTCGTACTACTACTAAAGGTATCAACAACAATAAAAGAGCAACATATTCTATGAGCCTTTAAAGACGTTTCAAATATTTCTCCCTATAAATTTGTTTATATGATAATATAAATCTTAAACACAAAATAAAAGAACTCAACCTCAATTTCAAGCTTTTAAATGAAAAAAAAGGTGTTGTAAATTTTTTTCTTCTACAACAAATTATGTTAAAAAGTTCTATATTAACAATAAATAAACCATAATCTTAATTAGTGTGTATATATATACACAGAGAGAGAGAGAGAGAGAGAGAGAGAGACTAAGTTCCACGGTTAATCATCTCCAAGAAATTATCAAGTGATTTTTGCTTTTGCAATCTCATTTCCTCGTAGACTTTATTGATGAATGCCTCCGTCCGACGATTCAACTCATCTAGACCTGGTGACAATTGTCTAGATATTCGGGTACTCAAAGATAAGTTCGATGAAGTTTCTTGTCGTGATTCACTATTCGTACAATTCTCGAAGGTTTTTGATTTTGACGAGTGATATGGGGAATTTATGGCTATATGATGGCCTCGATGCTCCAATGTGTCAGACTTCTCAAGGTGCTTTGTGGGTTGCCCGTTACGTCCATCCGTTATCATTTTCCATGTACTCTCCAATGTCTCTCCTCTCTTTGGCTTTGTCACCCTTGCTGTCCTTACACCTGAAAAATAAAACAGATATTTTTATAGTTTAATTTCAAAAATTTATAATGCATTTTTTTTTCTTATCTCTATAGTCAGCATGCTATATTAATAACCAAAAATAATAATAATAAATAAAAATAAAATATTCGGTCCTTGTTTGAGCCCTATTCTTTGAAAAAAAATATATTTTTAAACAATATTACATTAAAAAAAAATAAAAAAACACTTTGTCCATGTTTGAACCTCATTCTTTGAAAATAAAAAATAAAAATTCTTATACAGTATTTTGACAACATTTCAATGACACATTTTTATGAAAAAATTGGGGTCAAGGGCTTAGTATAGATTTAGGAGGGGACTCGAGCTAAAGTAAAATAATTACAAAATAAGAAACTACTTGTTTTTAGCTTTAGTCATAATCTTTATTACCATAGGTGAGTGTAGAAAATCATGATGCATTAATAGCACACGGACCTTTACGATTGGCTCTGAGAGGTTTCCAGTGACCAAGGGTCGCCGGAAGCAGAAAATCTGGACGAACCTCTGGTACTGGGGGGATATTCTTCTGCGGCGGAGTGTACGTAGAAATGGAGATACCTTCTTCATCTTCATCTTCATCTTCAGGTTCAATATCAGCATCAGCATCAGTTTCTTGTTCTTCAACTTTTGCGCCATTTAAAAGCACTGGCTTCACCTCCACGATCTTATCATCACCACCCTCATACACCAGTGGTGGGGGTTCACTGACAGTTGTTATAATCTCCGACTGAACCGGAAAGGAGTCAGATTCCGGCGAAGGCGAGGATGCAATTTTGTGGAAGCGTGACGAGGCGGCGATGGCGATGATGATGCAGTTCATAATAATGTACAAATAAGGAGGGCTAAGCCATGGGAGAACGATGGACCAAATCTGAAAAATAAAGGGAATCAAGAATTTGATTCCCATGGCTAAGGAAACAAGAACTCCAGATGTAATTACAAATACTTTCATGTTGAACAACTGAAAGAGAAGATCATATGGTGCATGGGGATGTAGCGTGCATATATATAAAATACAGGGTAGAACTGAGAGCCTAATTTGTGGGGTTGCATGAGATCTTGGCCGTTGGATTGAAAAAAAATAAAATGCATTTTAATGTTTGACGATTATAGGACAGGAACTGTACCCTTGTGGCATATACGCGTTGGACCAAATGTGAGTTCAAAAATATTAATTCTTTATCTGGAAAATTGGATTCATTCGGGATAAGTATCTTATCAAATACTAATGCTTTTTTTTATATCTTTTCTTCAAACTTCAATGTATCAACTTCGGATAAAAACTTTGAAAGCATTAATTGTCATGTCACTCCTAAAATCTAGTGCATGTGTAAAAATTGTGTTTGTTCCCAGAATGTGGAGAAATAGACAATGTTTAGTAATTTAATCATGAAAAATGGTAATGGTAGTCCATTTTAATTTCGATAATTAAATTGATGATGAGATTATAACCAAAATAAAGATTAGAAGGAAATCGTTAAGACTCGGGGAAAATATTCGCACACGTATCTTTGTAGATCTCATAGTCTATTTTCTATTAAGAGTTTGTTTTACTCAAGGTTATAACGTTGAGTCCCAATCCATGTTACTTACGTCATGAGGAATTGCTTATTGCATAACAATAAGTATATATTATTGATTCTTAGTAAGAACTCGAGCGAAGTTCTAAGACTTATCATTCCAAGATGTGTGAAATTGTATCTTCAAGAGTAGGAAAATCAATCTGATGAGGTCGAAGCGTGTTTCTATAAACAAACATACGATGAAGTTCTTTCATTAGAATGTATTTTTTAACAAGTAATTAGATTTCAATTGAAATATAATCTTTCAAATAAATCATTGCAATTTTGGAGGAAACAATGAAAGGACTTTCAGCCAACTAAAATATTTACTTCAACGAATGGTTGAAATCACAAGTTTGAACTAAGCACATTAATATTTATTTATATTATTAAATAAATAAAGGAAAATCTTTTAGTTGAAAAGTGGGGTTGGATACACCTCGTAACCGACCATTTCCTCAAAAGGTCTTTTTCTATTCTATCCTACAATTCAAACTTGTGTCCCTACGTGTGTATCTTTAGCCCACAAAAGGATTAACATAATTAGGCGTTGGCCCTACACAATTAATTTGTATTAAATTGTGAAGCAATATTTTACCTTTATTCTTGAAACTTTTTATCAAAAAGATATTTTGTGCACGAACTAATTAATATTTCAAAATTTCTCTGTCATGGCACGTAGACGGTAATTTTAAAAATTCCCTAATATTTACTCAAAAAAGGAATTAAGTTCAGCTAGAATCATTCAAGTTTGTTAAAAATTCAAAATGGTCACTGAATCATGTTTTAAAAAAGTTCAAAATGGTCATTGAATTAATTTTTTTATAGTAATAGTTACTCAAGAATCTAATTGTTACACTAACGAATGCTCAGCTAAAAACATTAACCTAAAATTCTAAATGTCACTATTAAACTCCAACATGAACACAAGCCGCTATTAACTAATGTGCCACATCAAACAAACTCATGTTGGATGTTGCTAAAAGCATAATTATCAAGCGTATTTTTTCATATCTGTTCGATTTTAATTAGTAAATTGTCGTTCATATCCCATTGAAATTTAACGGTAACACATCATGGTTTATTCATCAAATTTCAAAACGTTTTCCTATGGTCACTCATCTTTGAGACTTTGCACTCAATCCATCATCGACCAATTTTATTCCTCTCATTTCTAATGTATCATAAAAAAATTCCACTTTGTTAGTTACGGCCGTTAAATAAATTATTACTCAACCTAACAATCCAACTCACCAAAATTGCTTATGCCAAACGTGACTCAACGACCCCAAACACTTCTTGAAGCCCCAATTATTGGATCCCACTTTCATCTCAAAAACACCCTAGCTCCGAATTCACTCATCTTCCCCCCTCCATACAACTGAATTACAAGGTCAATTGTTCAAAAGGATGTGAGAAACTTCTATCCCCGATTGTACTATCTACTCGATGGTTTTCTAATCCTAATATTCCATTTTGCAAAAGCGTGCCCGACCATTTGAGGAATGCAATGTCATCAAAATTCGGTCACATCGAGAAATGGTCTACTATTGTGGTCATTTCGCATCCATCAAGACTTCGTGGACAGAATGTAACCTCGAACAACAATTTTACAACTATCGCTTCTATGGGAAGAGGGATGCATGCATTTTTTGCTTGGATCAACCGGCCATCGCAACCAAGGTATTAACTTATTATAAACTGGGCCGGGCCCCATGGCACATCTCCAAGTGGTAAAAGGGGAGGGTGAAGAAATCCAGCTTTACTTGAGACTGCCGCGTCAAGGGTTCGAATTCTGAAATATGGATTTGGCTCTTGGGTAAGTGCAAGTGTACAAGCAACCTTCCACCCTGTACGCTTGGAGACATAACCTGCGATTTACCTCCCTCACAATGCTCCAAGGCAGGGACGGTGGGGGACCCTTAAGGTTGGGGTTCAACCTTTATTATAAATGGGGCCGTGTTTACACCCGTGGAAGTCAAATTTTTTGGCTTATGCAATTTTGTTGGGTTGGATAGTTTGTCTAAGTTGTAATTTTTCTAGCTGTCATAACAGGTTTCAAGGAATTTTCATGTGACACATCAATAATGAGTGGAACGAAATCTGACGGATAATTAGATGGAGTGCAACATCTCAAAGATAAGTGATCATTGAGAAGCAATTTGAAGTTTAATGAATAAACCATGACCGTATATAAGTTGGGTGAGTAATAAAATGTTGGGTTGTGTGGTCATATAATATAGTTTGCTATGATAAAATAATTATAAGTTGTGATTTTATTGCATTATTTATTATTGAGCATGCAAATTAAAGTGCCTATGATCACTTGAGATAATATAAGTTGAGTATTTTCGTTGAGAAGTACAGTGTGACACAACTTATATTTTAATCATAAATAATTTGTTCACAACCAATATATAAAGATTGGCATCTTGTACTAGAAGGTCGTAGTGTTGACCGAGTCGCTATTTAGGTTTGTGATATGTCCTTATTGCAGAAATAGTTAAAGGAGACAACAGTACGCTTGGAATGTATTGAACTGACGGTGTGTCGAATTTAATTCTATAGCATGACTATATAGAGAATTAACTATCACTAAACCACTGTGTCTTTTATCTAAATCCCTTGATAAAATTATGTAAATCTTTTCGTGATTTCAATGATTCTTTGATTCATGGGTGAGATCAATTTGATTGGTCAAATATCTCGATGAGTTGAAAACTTGAGGATGAGCGGAGCAAAGAACATGAATTCGTGTCGGGAGCTGTAGTTTTGAAAAATGGGTAGAGTGACTATTTAAGTATTTTCTGTTGAATAGTTAAAATTTGAGCTCAGTATTTAGCGATGACTAAACTTTGACATCTATGATTAGTTCACAGAACCATTGAAGAAAATGAAACTTAAGTTAGTGAAAGTAATTAGAAGGGCAAAACGGTCATTTATGCTCATACCTAATTATTGAATCTCGAACGGGGATAAAATACATATACAACATGTCAGAGGAAAGTATTATAGATTTATTGGTTTATGTGATATTATATATTCCAAGAGTCCAGTTTTTTGCCTTTAGTGGAAAATGCAAAAACTAATAATTAGATTGAGTGGTCTAGAGTCGATTAGTCATGATTTAATTATTAGAGTTTGGATAATATATGTTCGATTAGGTCCCTATGGTAGCGTAATGAAGTATTGAAAATTAATTATAGTAATAATAATAGCTTTGGGCTTAACTGTAATTACAATAAAGTTTTGAACTTAGTTGTAATTACTATGAAAGTTGAAAACTTAATTATAATTGTAATTGAAGTTCTAGGATTGGACATATAAATAAATGTAAACTAATTGAATTTGGACTTTAATTAAAATTCCTATTTGGATGTTGAATTATTATTGCATAAAGATTGGAACTCTTCTATTTCTATAAATAGAGATTAGATGGATCCTACACATTCGATGCAATGGAATTGTAAAACATTCATAATACATAATTTCATGGTGTTCAAATTTTAAAGAGAGAAAAAAAATTATTTTTTATTTTTTTTTATTTTTCAATTTTCAGTTCAAGAATTAGTTGCTTGATTTAATTAAAAGAAAGTACCCACCCACCGGTGTAGTTTTGATTTTGGAGAATACCATAGAAGAATTGGAGATTTGAAGCATCAAATTATTGGAATTAAAAAATTGAAAGTTTGTGATCCAAAAAGTTGAAAGTTAATGGTTCAGAATTAATTCAAGAATTGATCATCGAATTCGGTAAAAATTCGAATAATTTATTTTTTATATAACATACACGTGAACATCTAAACGATCTTATTTTTGAATAAAAAATTAATTTCTAGATAATTTCACTTCCGCATTCCAACATAAAATACAATTAATAGAATAGTTTAAAATTTGAGTGAGGATTACTATAAAAGAATTTTTAGAAACCTTCACCAACCGCTCAATAAATACACAGCTTACGGCAATTGTTTTTATGTCTACGCGTGTACTCAATTTGCACATACGTTATCCTTCGCAAACCAGAAGCCGGTGGGATAGTGAAATCTTGACTAGAATTTACAAAATCTGAATGCATTTAACTGCTAAGTGGAGCTATCTGCAAATATTTGGATAAAATAAAAATAAAATAAAATAAAATAATACACCCCGTATACCGACACCGAGACTAAGCGGTTATGTTGTAACTTGTAACCACCAAATAGACTAGGAATTTTTGGAATATTCTATTCTACATTGTCTCCATTATCCATGGCGCAATCAAATGCGATTACGTTTTGGTTTAACTAAATAATTAATGGGCGGTGGTCGGATCCATAATAAGTCAATGAATGAGATAAGGAATTTTTGGTCAATGTGGGGACTATACTCGGGTTAGTTGTTTCGGTTA